ATCCTGGCCTACAAGAAGACGATCATTGAATTCTCGGAGACTGACGTCGGACACTTTGACCTTCGAGAAGGTTATTCCTTGAGGCAATTGCGTTCTACCTTTGGATGTGAGTGCTATAATGGAATGGAGAAAACGGGTCAAAGCGCTGAAATACAATTGGTTACAACCATTTAACGATTACTGTCTAATGCGTTTCTTCGCCTGCCGGTAATATTATTCATAAGCACCTGGTAACGGTTAACAAAACGCAAATAGCTCTACTTTAGATATTGAACAATCCGGAAAATTGCAATTCACATGGTTTTGTAAGATGTAGAGATACAACCCACTAATGGTGAACGGTACCAGGTAGCAAAGCCTACGAAATAGTAAAAAAAAGATTGAATATTGATTGGGGTGTTCTCTACACTAGGTAAACTTCAATAGGTCTAGGAAGCTACGGAAACCGGTCTGAGTAATTGCAAATAAACTCTTGAGTGATGGATGCACATCCATTGACATGCATGGTAAAAAAGGTCTATCGAGGAAAAGTTATTGATCACAATCGACAGGAAACGGACACGTGGCGAAGTGTTAGATTATGGCAAAAACCGAAGAAACCGCATTCGAATCCAAGGTCACCCAGTCCTGCCGGAAAGGAGAACACGGCAGAGATGAAGACTGCAGTCCATGACCAGAAACAAAAAATACGAAGGCTGCCTTTTTTACCAAGTCGTGAGATGGTACGGTAGGTGGCCACAAGACTTACTTAGCGTAGGCTGGTGCGTGTCTGACAACTTAGCAGAGTTCCAGTTCGCAATTTCGATGTACATGGAGGATAAAATAGAGTCCACATTCACGGCCTTCAGACCACCGGAGGGCTAAAAGAGTCCAACAAGAAAATGAGTCACGTCAGGCAGAAGTCAACGGAGGGTAAGGGGGCTAAGTTTCGTTCAGAATGGTAGCGGTTAAGATGCAAGACTTACATCAAATTGTTCGATCCTGGTGCGGATGGCCAGAACGCCGCCTACATCATGCTGTCGGTGGAGGACAGTCTGGTTGAGGTCCGAAAGAAGACTGATGGTATCGCGGAAGAAGCTAAATAGGGATAAATAAAGGCTACGAGTTGATTAAGTGAATAAGGCAAGGGCAGTCTCAAAGAGGGACATCACAGGTAGTCAGTCTTCAGCATGGAACCGCGGTGACATCCATAAATGGAAGAGGTGCAATATGCTGCACAGCTTCCGTGGGTCGATCTGCTTACCTACCTTTACTTCACCTATGCAATCCACCAATAGGGACGCAGTACGCGGATTACCCAAATAATCATCTAGAATGCACCGGATGGCTTACTAGGGGTATGGTAGATTTAAATAATTCGTTTGGTGGATTCTATACGCCCAGTAGGCTTGCGGTGAGCCTCGTAGCTCAATGGTAGAGCGTTGGCTGCGCAAAAGCTTCCCCTGCTGTGTGGGTTCAACTGCCACCGAGGCCGCGAATTTTTCGCAATTTGTTCAATCGAAATATCTTCATATGGTAGTGGCGTTCATCCATCTAGACCGATATCCGGACAAATGCGGTGACCCTAAACTCGCCTAAAATTTGGGGCTGGCGGAG